AAAGGAATTTAATATCAAAGAATCCCAACATTTATTTCTTGGGAAAATTTCTGAAATGTAATATGAACTTATACACCTTTTTTAATATGTCATATAAATTTAAATTTTACGGGATTTGCCATCTCAACTTTTCAAAATCATTAATTTGTCATCTCAATTGTCCATCCAAACTAAGTCATGTGTTTTGCGTATTATGATTTGGTTTCAAGGTTATTTTGGACCTTTTAACTCCCCACACTCCTTCAAGATTATTTTAGATATTTTAACTCCCTTTTCTAAGAATAGGATGTACCGCATTGAATTCTCAAAGCTTGCAATTAGTTAAACTGCATGTTAGTAAGCCTAATGTAATTTTTTAGTAGTTCACCATAAGCTTTTGAAACAAACACAACATAGTGTTTTTACAAGCCAAAATTTTTGGTTTCGTACCAAGGGGAAGTACAGAACTTGTGAAAAGGAGGTCAAATATCCGAAACCAATTTATTCCTCCACCTTTTATAGTAAATATATCCTTGTATAAAAAAAATTAAAAAAAAAAGCTAGTGAAAATGAGGTCAAAAGTCTGAAATAACACTGAACACAAGTCATGTGTATGGTACATGACTCGTTAGTATGAGATGACAAATTTACAATTTTAAAAAATTGATATCACAAGTTACTGAAAATTTTAGTTCATATGACAAATTAAAAAAGATAAGTTTACACGACATTTTAGAAATTTCCCCCTTTTTCATCTCTCTCCTCAATAAGTGTACAAGGGACCGATGATAGTTTATTCAACCTTTCTTGCAAAGTTTTCTTCCCATCAACCACAAAAAAGCAAAGCATATACTGTATAGTCGATTCTATTTGATATCGGAGAATCATTTTAGGGATGTCATAGTGCTGGGATCAAAGACTCCAAAGCCAATCAGTTAACTTTTATAGTGTTTCCTCCATTCAAACTGTCATACTCATCGTCCCCCATGTTCCACTTTCCAATCCTTGCTATCTACACAGCCCAAAGTAACCCAGGCCCCTACATGCCACCAACACATAATGATACTTGAATACGTCTATGACCAATGGATGCACATAGCTTTCCTCGGACGGTGACATTAAACATCCAAAATAAATAATTATTTGAGGTTGAAAATGATTAGGCAAATGGCCACATTGAACATATTAATCTCAGCCCACTAAACATTCAAGTTCACACTAATAATTTCCTCTTTGATGATAAATTTTGAGTCACCGAGTGATTAACCTCTAACCTAATTAGTAATTTAATACAACGCTAATTATACTTTTGGATCCATTCCATGATATTTTATCATGAATTCATTGTTTATTTTTTAGGTCTTCATTTAAACATCATTGAGAAAATTCTTCCAAATCAATTAATCATTTAGCCATCGCTTATTGTCATGGACATTCATTAGATTTTCAACAACATTATGTCAATAAATATTTTTATTTTTCATAATTAGATTTTTAAAACACTTCCAATTTAATTTAATTTTTTATCAGGATGGTCTTTGAATGAAAAAAATAAAAACTAAATGATTTGGATCATAGAAAAATATTGTAGAATGAACTCAAACGCATGGTAACGTTATATTAAGTTACTGAATAGTTAGCGCTTGATGCTCCTTCCTTCTTATGATCTATATGTAGGGATACAAGTAATTGAATAGGTATATAAATATTGAGGTGAAAAATTATGCAACACTAAACGCTGTCCAAGTCCACAACAAGATTCAAGTTCACAAGAGCAATTTTAAACGTGTTCTGAGGATTTGAGCCAGGTACTTATGATAAACAAGTCTTCTAAGAAATATGAATGTCTTCCCCGACCAGAAAAAAGAAATAAGAATGTCTTTTTACTTACTATTCATATGTTCCCATTAGACTTCGTGGGACATACTTATACTTACAGACGTGTGGTTGGTCCTGGTACCAAAGTCACGGCTAAGACAATTTTTTCTCGATGCCTCGTGAAAGTCACATGTAACATGTCCTACATGACCTTGTCATCGTCATGACAACATATGTTTCATTTTTGTCACTTTAATATCCTAAAGTAAATTTAACGACAGACTTTTCTTGTTTCTGAAAATAATCTAATTATTGTATGATTTTCATTCAACATACTTTCACGCGTTTTGTCTAGTCATATTTCTCTTGTTAATTAAAGATTTTGACATCGCCGAATCATCTCCTTTCAATATGTATAACGCATTGAGGTTGTTGAGCATCCATCTTTTGTTGAAGGACCGACATATGAATTATATATGTCTACATCGAATCTGATCGATTATCTAAGCACATGATAAGATAAAAACCTAATATCTTACATACCAAGCTACAAGCCTCGTGCTGCTATAAAAACAAAAAGAACCCTAAACCCTAAAACCTGACAAAGAAAAAGTTGCACGCGTTTTTCCTCATCGGTACCACACAAATCTTGGTGATTAAGATTTATAGAGTTTACAACTAGCTTGCTAAACGACTCGTGGAGAGATGGTCCATATAATTCTCCATCGATGGAGTAATATTATGGTTTGCTTGTTCACGTGATTATCAAAAAGATGAGACAGTCACAATGGAAAAAAGAGTCAAAAACCACAAAATGCATGCTGCTGAAGATAAACGCTGCAGTGGGACCCCACTTTTATCCGACTCCCCTGACACTAAACTCGAACAGAATGCAGCAGCTGTGTAGGGGGCATCCCCTGAATCGCTCTCCGAGCAGAAAATTATTGAATAAAGGTACTCTCTAATACGTGAGGTAGCATGCATGCATGCATACATACATACATACATACATACACATATATATATATATGCACATACACACACATATACATATATATATACACACATACACACACACAAACATATATATATATATATATATATATATGAAACCTTTAAGGAAAGGGATCCTTATTTTTTTTTTTTTAAATGAGGACATCCTCTTAACTGTTAGATTTAACTTTAATGAAATCCTGTAGTTGAGATTCTGTGGCCTATGATTTAATCTCAATTGCATAATTTCATTAAAATTAGATCTAATGGTTAAGAAAGTATCCTTATTTTTTTTGATAAATAAGGATCTATTCCTTTAAAGAACCTGATATATATACGCAGTAGTCTTGCTCAGAATAAATAAGGACATTGCAATCATGATCAACAGCAAGTAATTAAGTTCATGGACCATGCCCTTTATGTGTGGTGACTGGTCTCACTGTACGATTTTTACTTGAAGTGGTAAATATCGACAACAGTAAAGCACTTTGAGAAAATGAGGTACAAATATAAATCAGCCGAAAGTTGATAAAGGTCATTTGGAATTTTTACTTTCTTGTCATTTGTGATGTTTATTATCTCCTCAAAATTGGAACGTACAAGGAAACCTGAAAGTTATATTGTAAGGCCATCTCCAACTGGCCTAGCTAAAGGGTCACAGGTCAAAATATAGCTCGTTTTGACACAAATGTTGTCTCCAATCGAGAGCTTGGCCAAAAGGCTTGTGGGCCCAACTGAGTCATATTCTAGCCACAAGGCCAGCCAGCCAGCCTGTTTGTAGCAGCCCAAATCCATGCAACAGTAACCATGATGTCAGCATGACGCAAGCTAGCAACGGCTAGTTGATGTCAGGGTACCGTTGGAATTTGAAATTTTTTCAGATGATTTTTTTTTAAATTCTAATTTTTTTTCCTATACCATTTCTACACCATTTCTCACATCATTTTCACCATTTCACCATTCCATAACCAATTACATCTCGACACGTGGCTAAAAAATTAATTCAATTCCATAACCATTGGTACACCATTTTCTCACATCTGAAAACCTTATCTTAATATGGTAGTTTAATTCAATTAACTATATTAATTCAATTAAAATAATAAATTATTGAGGGGGCTAAAAATAGCCTCCTTCGGTTGGAGATGAGTTTTTGTTGTCAAACAGACTATGTTTTGGTCTATGACCATTTGGCCCCCTTGGTTGGAAATGGTATATAAATATGGCTTGACACTGTTTATTAAAAAATAATTTCTTACAGGACTATCATCTGAACAGAGGCTAAACATGACCCTTTGATCCCCTTTCGGTTGAAGATGGCCTAACACTTTCGTTTTTAGGTTTTAGCTGTTCTTCTTTAGCTAGAGACCGTGGCCACTTTGAAGTTTACAAAAGCACTTCTTGAAGCGAGTACTTATTCTAAAAAATGCTTCTTGAGGCGAGTACTTATTCTAAAAAATGCTTCTTGAAGCAAGTACTTGTTCAAAAAAATCGCATCAAGGGTTTTTTGACCCAAAAGCACACTAAATATTGTCATAAATACGGTTTTTGTGACCTGAAACCACTTTTTCATGTTTTGGATTTTGTATTTTTCTTTAGCTAGGAGGAGGAAGGAATAAAGGAGAAATGAAGAAAAATACGTCAAATCAAAAATTAATTTTGTAGTTCTTTGGCTGTTTTTCTTTTAGACCCCTTTTGGCTCATATCCATCTTTTTCTACCTTATCATTTCTCTCATACATATCCTCTTTCTCTGTTTTCTATAACAAACACAAAGCATGAAAGTGTTATCAAACAAATCTTAAACGACAATTATTCAATCACAAATTGATTTGTAAATGTCTCGTTTGTTTATCGATAGACCAACTTTGATCTGCATTTAATTTGTTTTTGCCAAAAAATTTCTTCTCTTGTGTTACATCAATTAATATCAATTTGTAATGAAAAGGTTGTGACATTTTGATGGTATATGTACCATTACCCGAAGGATTGTACTTGGCTCAGGTTATATGTACCATTACCGATAGTACTTGGCTCAAGTTATATGTACCATTACCCTAGGGATAGTACTTGGTTCAAGTTATACATGACCTCATAAGCGCCTCAGAACTGACCTAAATATTTTCCTTACTCAAGCCTAAAATACACCTAATAGAAACAATTATATAGTCTATATTCTGTCGAACTGTGTTTTGACTATGCCGCCTAAAACCTTCCCTTTAAATTGTCTTCTCTACCTCTGATTTTTTACGCTCCTCTCTGCGCCTATCCTCTTGTTTTGCCTCTCAGAAGATCAGCAAGAAAACCTCTCTCTCTCTCTCTCTCTCTCTCTCTCTCAAAATCCTCAAAATACTTGCTACATGGGCTCACCATTTTACAGCTTCCTCAAGCAGAACAACATTGTCTGCCTCAAAATTTTCTTGATTTTATTAATCATGGGGTGCATACCGGATAGAACAACCAACCTTTGTTCCAACCAACTCATTGCCAAACCAGCCACTCCAACTCACTTAAATGTTACTTCATCTTTGGAGACACTAAGCCTGGACGGCTACTTTAGTTTCAACAACAACAATCACGCAGCAAAGGACTTTGGCAATACATACCAGTCCCTCCCACTAGCAGTCCTATATCCGAAATCAGTTTCCGATATCTCCTCAACGGTGAAACTTATTTTCAACATGGGTTCCGCTTCGGAGCTTACTGTTGCCGCCAGAGGCCACGGCCACTCCCTTCAAGGCCAAGCACAAGCTCATAGAGGTGTAGTCATCAACATGGAATCGCTCAAGGGATCGCAAATGCAGGTTCACACTGGAGAGCGACCTTATGTGGATGTTTCAGGTGGTGAGCTGTGGATAAATATTCTGCATGAGACTCTCAAACTTGGGTTGGCACCGAAATCTTGGACCGATTACCTTCATCTCACTGTCGGTGGGACCTTATCGTACGCCGGCATCAGCGGTCAGGCCTTCCGGCATGGTCCCCAGATCAATAACGTATACCGGCTGCAGGTTGTCACAGGTATGCCAAACAAAACCACTTTAAGCCCTCCCGAGCATGAAATGGCAGCACAACAAAACACGTAGCACGCATCACTCATCATTTCAGAGAAAGGAAAAGGGCATTTTTGTGATTTAACCTCTTATTTTTTTGGCAGTAAAGTAGTCATACATAGTGACCTTACATTAAACTCAGAGGAAAACAAGGGGAAAAATGAGGAACGAAGAAAATGAATAAATTTAGTGGGAGAAATCTGGAAAAAAATGCATAAGTAACAACATAAAAAATGAAATTATAAACCGATTTTAAGTTGTTTTCACTTACAAAATTTTCTTTTCATTCTTTCTTTATGTCTTCTACATCTCTTCCACCAACCTTCTTCACCTCTATTTTTTCCTAAAAATTATTCGGCCCTTATCTCGAACACAAAAAGTGAACCTAAAAATAAAAACAAAATTATTATCAAACAAACACTTAGAAAAACAAAACGGATCCTTATAAAAAAAAATAAATAAATAAAAAAAACACACTCGTCTGACATTGTAATGAGAGAAGGGCTGAAAAGAAATTACAAAGTTAAGAATCAAGTAGAAAATAACAATATGAGTAGCTCTTGAAGTGTTAGTGTGTTTTTTCTAGTATACTAAAATGTTTTCATTTATAACTTTACACTTAATTGCAACAATTCGAATTTACCTTGGCCAAAAAAATGTGCGAATACTATAATTTGAAGTTTTGATTGAAGGAAAAGGAGAAGTAATTACCTGCTCAAAAAGCAAAAATCCAGACCTTTTCTATGGTGTTCTTGGAGGGCTAGGTCAGTTTGGCATAATTACACAGGCCAGAATTTCTCTTGAACCTGCACCAAAGATGGTAATATACAACCACTTGAATTATAATGTTGATGTATAAGGGTTCTATTATTGGCACTCTAAAAAATTCATCCTGCACTTCTAAGTGTTGTACATAATTGGAGTGCGGGAGGACATTTTTAGAACGCTAACAAGAACCCCTAATTATAATTATTTTATTTACGCATCCATTCTAATCATATAGTTTATTTATTAACAGGTGAAATGGATTAGAGTTTTATACTTAGATTTCTCATCATTTTCTAAAGACCAAGAGTATCTCATAGCATCTGAAAATTCATTCGAATATATCGAAGGATTTGTAATACTTAACAGAACAGGTCTTCTCAATAACTGGAGATCTTCTTTCAATCCTAAAGATCCAATGCAAGCCAGCCAATTCAATTCGGATGGAAAAACACTTTACTGCCTAGAAATGGCCAAATATTTTAACCCCGACGTAACGAATGTCATAGATCAGGTGAGACATTCACAGAAACGAACAATGTATTTCGTATTGCTCCGATGATGGAAAACACAACATTTACATGCTAAACTAGTCGCTGAAAATTTTCATGTTTGCAGATAACTGAAAGCTTACTGTTAAAATTGCACTATATCCCATCCACCCTCTTCATGTCCGAAGTTTCGTTTGTCGAATTCCTAGATAGAGTGCATTTGTCGGAGCTAAAACTCCGAGCGAAAGGACTATGGGAAGTTCCCCACCCGTGGATGAACCTACTCATTCCAAAAAACAGAATACACGAGTTTGCAGATGAGGTCTTTGGTAACATTCTCACAAACAATATCAATGGTCCTATCCTTATGTACCCAGTCAACAAAACCAAGTAACTATTCTACATTTTTATGAAATTTTCTTTAAAATTCTCAATTCCATATTTCTCAGGTTTAGACCAATTATTGTATTGCAGGTGGAACAACAACACATCTTTGGTAACCCCAGATGAAGATGTATTCTACCTAGTGGCATTGCTATCATCTGCAGTGCCATCTTCCAAAGGAACAGACGGCCTAGAATACATTCTAACACAAAATAAAAGAATACTAGAATACAGCGCTAGAGCCGACCTTGGTATCAAGCAGTATCTTCCTCATTACAGAACCCAAGGAGAGTGGCGAGCTCACTTCGGCCCTCGATGGAAGGCTTTTGCAAGAAGGAAGTCTTCTTATGATCCACTGGCAATCCTTGCTCCCGGACAGATGATGTTCAAAAAGGGAATACCAATATTATAACAATGGTATTAAAATGAATGAGCTATACCCAGTAATTGCCTCACAGAGCCAGAGACGATCGATAATGTCCAAAACCGTATGGTCTTCTCAGATTTCCAGTTCTATAGTGAGCATTGTTCTAAAAATCTCTGCCTAGCGTCGTGGCCCTGCCTAGGTGATAGGCAACTGACCGTCCTAAGTAATCCCTAGACTTTTGAAATTTAGAAAAGGGCACCTAGACCTATCTAGAAGCCCGCTTAAGTCGCGATTCTCACTTAGACAAAAAATAAATAAATAACTTTATTTTGCATGTTATTTTTGCAATAAATTATAAGAGACTAGTTGAATACTTGGATGAACATTCTTGTTCCCCATATTTTCAATATATCTAATATTTTATAATTTATAGCCATTTTATTTTGCAATTTTTGTATCTCAATACAATTATGTATACTTCTAATTATAAGTAAATATTTATTTATATGTTATTATTGAGGCCCAGATATGTCATGAACAAGCCCAAGCAAGTCTCAAAGCCCAATTGTCACAAGAGTCGTCCCAAGTCAAGCCCAAATACATGCAAAGGTGCAGGATAAAAGAAAGAGTATATTCACGATCATCCCTTGTGCTACGGTAATTAAGCTGGATACTTACATAAATCACGACATGCCCATCCTAGTCACATGCTCGATTGTGGTGTTGATAGTTACGGAAGTTCATTGGGTCTATGTGAGGTCAAGATATGGAAGACTTTGGGTTGCTTGGGTGTAAAGACCAAAAACTCGGAAGCAAAATCCGGTGATAGGCCAAAATAAAGTCATGGTTAATCTTTAGTCTATTAACCATATTAAATCTCCTCTCAAAACCAATTATTCTAAATGTTATTTTGATTACTTTATGGCTGCATCTAACCTCCTCGTTAGACTGCCTACGTACTGTCAAACGGGATCAAAGCCATTCGTAGTTCACCATCGTATTTAAACCGTTTAACCCTTAAATATTCAAGTGGTAGAAGTTTATGATACTAGATTCAAACAATTGAATCACATCAATCGAATATCAAATATGAAATAAGAATATCGAAATTACCTTAAAAAGGCAAAGTCGGCCCCCTGGCCATGCGCCACGAATTCTGATCAAAACTCTAAAAATTACTAAATTTTACAAGATTGTAGAACAAACCATGGGGAAGAATTTTCATGCCTGAGCTGAAGTCCAAGTTGGCTGGGAAATACCTGAAATCCAACATGGTTCATTGAAAAACCCTAAAATGGGTGATTGTCAAATCAACGTCACCAGAACTCCGATGTTTTGAACCGTGGATGGATTTTGCTCCTGAGTTCGAGGAGAGTCAAGTAGAGGTGGTGGCGAGTGACGGGAAAAGCTAGAAAGGCAGAATCGCAGCCGTGAGCTCCAGAGAAGACTGCGTTCGTTTGTTGTGAAATCGCAACCAAAAACTATCAAGTTTGGGTGGGAATGAAAGCTAGGACGACGCTGAGTTATTTGGTGGTGGTGGTTTGCCATGATTCACCAGAGAAACACTGTGAAAGGCATCGGAATTCATGGCTGCATTCGGGTCAAGTCGTGCAAGGAAATGGGTTAAAGTGGATCTGGTTCACTTCTTCTCTTTTCCTTCATTTCCCTCATTTCCTTCTTTTCCCATTAGGCAACCCCTTTCTCCTTTCCTTCCTTTCTCCTCTCCTCTTTCCATCACAGCCACACACACGATGCCTAGATGGTTGCTCCAGCAAAGCTGGAGCCTTCCAGATTAATGGTCAAATAACCATTTTGCTCTTACATCTGCTCGTTTATATCTCATTCGTTATAACTTCGTTTGGCGAACAGTTTTCACCTATGCGCTTGTGGGATCGAGCTCTATCCAAATATGCCAAGAAATACAACAAACCATATAAGGATAAAATACATTCTCGTATAATTATGTTTAGCCAGCGAAGGGTATTTTCTTCTTTTTCACTTATCCAACAAATATACGTCATAAATATAAATGTGTCGTAACTCCGAATACGACTACCAAATATTTACTAATAAAATCCGGGAATGGGATTTTACATTTCCCCCCATTTAAATTTCATAATCGTTAATTAATTTGAATTTCATAATTAAATCACATATTTAAAATAATCAGGGTATGACATTGGGGGCCCAAAGATCCAAGACCATAATCTTTGAAGTCTAAGTTGGTAGACATTGAGAGAGAACCAGTCTAGTTTACCTCTTTCCCTAGCAAACTAACCAGCTCAGTTAGGATTAAACTAGATTCTAGCTCTAAGTGACGTGAAAGCCCATCAGAACAGACATTTAATACTGACTTTTCTTTCCCAGCTCACGTAGCAGTTCAACGCGTGAAAGCCATGAGGTGCGTTACCGAAAGTAGCGTATGTGGAAAGCTGACCCAGAAAAGCCGCGCCTTAGGAAGAAGACATGATGCAAGTTTTTGAGCTTAGCTTCATTACATCAAAATAGGGCGTAATAGAAGAACTAGGGAGAACGGGGAGAAAGAAACAAGTCGTAACTAGAGATTCCTTGAGAATGAATCATTCAACTACAAATATAGGTTAAGAACTTTATAAAGAGGATCCCCCAATTCCCTTGCATAACAGAGAGAACCAAAGAAACCCAGAAGGGAGCACTCTACAATCTTAGTATTTTCCATAACCTCCCTCTGAGTATTCCAACCACTGTAAACTTTGCTATTGTCCTAAGAAACCTAAATTATCCAACAGGAAACACCATACAATCGCCCAATCTCTGTCTCTTTCATGCAAAACTGATGAATTTCTAGCTTCCAAACCACAGTGTTCTTGATCAAGTCATTATTTACCTAATCATGCTATCTTCGAGTCATTGATCCAACAGGATATTCCAAAGACGTGCTAATTCTTTCAAGATATTTTGGGACTTGGTACAAATCTGAGCCAAGGAAGACAATAGGACGTTCTCAAAGCCCAAGTCCACTTCGACCTAAAAGTCCCCCATCAATTATATAATAAAATTAATTAAAATTAAAATAAAATAAAAAAACTGCATAGACTCTCACCTAGACGCCTAAGAGCTAAGGACCCTACCCGTCACCCAACTGTCGCCTAACGTTTTTTAGAATCTTGATAGTAAGCAACATAGAGACCCTTTAGGTTGTCCAATAATTTTTTTTCTAACTTATAAGCATCAAATATATAGTCACTACATGTTGTCTATAAAACAATTGCCTTCGGCCCAATAAATTATGTTACCTCTGACATAATTAATGGAAATAATGATGAAAATAGTGGCCAGAACCATTTCTTATTTGGAAATGATAATATGAATGGTGCCACAATAAGAATTTCTAGTTCCAAAAAACTTACATTTGTAGGAAGTGCTGAGAGTGTTGATGCAGGCCAATTCACTAAATGTCAAGTTAATCATAATACACTCTCGGATATAGATGATGCAACAGCAGCAACATGTTCATGTTTGTCAATTGGTCTTCACTTCCAGCCCAACGGTTGTGTTTCAGAAGTAGCTTCTATGGATGGAGTGACAAAGAAAGATGTCGTTAGTTTTCCTGGCATTATAGATGGATTGAAGTGTGCTTTGAAGACTTTAAGAGGTCATTTTGTGATCATTCCTGTCTTGGAGCAAATATATTTCCTGAATTAAATAAAACTTCAGAATTTGTCACGAATGGTAGGTCTGGTAGGGACAAAAAATCAAGGAAACAAAGGGGGAAAAGGCTGGGCTCGAGGCTTCGATTGTTCAAAGTCATGCCAATTTCTACAAGCTGGTTTATGTAGATCATCTCTTTGGGCGGTCGTCTAACTTTGAGGTTTTTGGTAAAGACTTCGAGATTTTCTCTATTTCTCCGGGAGACTTGTTCGCCTTTACTTTTGAGTCTTCCATTGGTGAAGTAGTTAGAAAGGTCAGTGCCCAGGTTGGGCAGTTGAGGGTGAAGCGCTGGATGGTGCCACTGCTGAGAGTGTCCCGATTGCTGAAGGTGTAGGGACCGAGTAATCGTGGGATGTCCAAGCTGCTGAAGGTAACCATCTAGTTTTCCTTTAGCTTTTCTCTGTTTTCCTTGTTGTTTTTGCTTGAACTCTTCTGTCTTGCTAGTTGTTCATCAATTTTGCTAGAAAATTTAATAAACATGTTTTCTTCGCTTTTCTCCATCTTCACTTCTTTTATTCTTGCCCTAACCTTTAGACTTTATAGACTAGTGGCACGCGTGCTACTTTTCTATAAGCAAACAAGTTTGCGTAACCTATGCAGCCATAAGTGTTGGTGTAGAACTTTGAAAAGTTGTTAGCCATAGGGTTGGCAGTCGGATGTCTTACTTACAGAAGCAGACAATTTCGCGTAACCACTAGGCTGTTAACCTTGCCTTTCTCCAATTCCGTAGGTTGCGTAGCAAGTATTGTGACATTTTAGGACTTGGTGTAGGTAGTTCCGCGCTTGGCAGAAGTGAAACTTATCGACTACGTAGCATGTCGGCAGTGGATAAAGCTTCGTATATGCACGTTAGCATGTCTAACCTTTCACAAGAATGTGCAGTTATACAAGTCTAGCACGGGTTTACTACTTGAAGGGCAAGCCATAGGTAGTCTTCCAGAAACCATAGGCTACCTTAGTGCACTCGGTAGCAGCTTTAGGGTTCCAGGGCAGCCGTCATAGGGCATACTACGTTATATGCCTCCTCTGTCTATGAGGCTTGGTTCCCTGTGAATTAGGCCAGAGGACCCAAAATTCTTCAGTTAGCTAAGCCTTGAAAAAAACCATTGTGGCTACCTCTAGGAATCCTGGCACAAGCCATCGTGCACCTAGTTATACTAGGGCAGCCTAGCTCATCCACGTCTGGATATTTGGAGTGTAAGTTTATCCTCTCACCTTGGAGAGCAGACCCATGTGGGTGTCGGGGAATTGGTTTACCCTATCGCATTGAAGAGCAATTAGTTTATCCTCTCGCACTGAAGAGCAGTCCCAGATGGGTGTTGGGAAATTGGTTTACCCTCTCACATTGGAGAGCATGGTTAGTCCCTCAGGGATGCAATTCCTGCTGATAAGTCCCTAAGAATGGCACAATCTTCTTTTGAAGTGCATGAGTGATCAATTGTTAAAGGTATACAGTTGAGCCAAGTTGTAGATTACTTCTAAATTCTTCATTGACAAATGATTGAAACGAACAAGAACTTAGCTGTAAGGTAGGAACTGCATTACAACTAGATAGTCTTCAGCTTACGAAGTGGTGCCCATCGAGCTGCTTGAGTCTTCA